ACCACACTAACGGGCCAAAAGTATCTGTTTTTAAAAACCGCCCAAATTTTCTTGTTACCTGATATGTAATGAAAACAAACTTAGCTGTAATGAACAGCAAGAATTTTGAATTATTTACGTAGAATTTACGTAGAATGTTGATCCATAATGAATAGGAAACTGACAGCTGAGGCAGATTATATCTACATTTTTATTTCACTACACATGTTGTGGCCACAAACTACTTGACACACTACTTGTACCCATTTCAAAATTCAAATATTTTTTTTAGCTTTGCGGTAAGAAGAGAGCAGCAGGCAGCACTCCAGCTAGGCCGAAGCGTAGAAAGCAAGTGCGTTGTGTTCAGCATGAAATCTGAATTCAGACTGAGTTAGTTGTGGTTCTCAATCCATTTTAATTGGATAATTAATCCTGATGTAAAATTACTATTAGCTGTTTGAGTTTTAGTTCCATTTGCATCACCAGTGGTAAGTTAGAGTATACAACATAGATTAGTCTTGAAATGACGCAGTGCAGTAAGAAGTTGCTATTTTTAGAACAAAGAGGGGAAATTAATTTACGCATTAGGAAGGCTATTGCCAATTTAAATTATAATTTATCTCCTAAATATTTTTATCTTACACACATATATATATTTATATATTAAACTCGTAAATAGTTCAATGTTAGCATTAATTTTTAATTATTATTTTCTTATCTAATTATTGAATTAATTCTAAGCTACTACTGTATACAAATCGCCGTCTATTAAACTCAAATATGTTTAGAACGGAAGGGATTTTAATAAGCAACGGGTACTTTATACATTATATAGCTTATGTTTGTTAATTTTACCAACAGTAAACCAACCATTTTATCCTAAGTGAACATTATGGAAAAATTGCATTAAAAACTCTTAAAGTGAAATGTATTTGTTCTGGACCTAATATAAAACATAAAATCTACAGAGAGTATAATTTCAGTACTTCTGTTTTCCTATGTTCAGTCAATAAAATTACAGAAAGAAAATGACTCCACACAGATATCAATTCAAAGTCTTTATAATGTAAAACGCAAATAAATAAATGTCAGTATTCAGGACTGTTATACATGTTACAGAAAACATTAATTATAAATGTTAATTAAATAATATTCTAAACTGAATTTCGGAGCAAGCCAAATACAGTGGCATTAAAAATTATTGCACTTGATTTTACATGATTAGGCATAGAAAAAAAATCATGTTCTAGAAACAGTCTGAAATCTAATATGCAAACACATTATATGTAATGATATTCTGATTTGCTGATATATTCTGATCAGTTGATATATATTTGAATCAGAAGATAGATAGTTCGTGACAAAGCGAGATAAATTGGGTTTTTATTTTTGGAAATAGGTTTTGAAGAGTAAATTAAAATACATTAAATAAAATTTAAAAAAAAGCAATAATTTTTGTCCACTGTGTTTGATAAGCATCCGCTAACTGAAATTTTTTATTTTGAGCATGGATGATTTTGTTTCATTTATTTTTCTTCAGAAGCTATAGCGTTTATTGCCTTTTTACATCCATTTCAGAATGCAGAAGTTCACTCGCCATTGAAGTCTTACAACAGCACATATTTGACCAAGAAATTGACAGTTAATATTTGAATACGGACATTCAAAATATGACACATAAGCACAAACCAATAAGAGTGTTGGGCACAATAACAAGTGTACATAATTTTTTGTCCTTCATTTCATTGAAACTTCGTGGTCCTTGGTTTTATTGTCAATGTTTCACTATATATTTTTCATATCACACTCACACACATGATTTTTTACAAAAGAGGATAAGTCAACACGTTACATCAAGTAACGATTACTGGCTATCGCGTAGAATTTGATTCAAGATTCAACCTACTTCTTTCTTTAGGGAGTATCAGAAAATATCTGATCACAAAATTGAAATATACAACAACTTTGTACAACAGTACATACACCAAACAGAAAACAGATTTATTGTTACGTCACCTCTGCTAACAATATATTGAAATCTGAATGCCTAAAGGAAAGGAAACATTTGAACTTACATGCGGTTGTAGTTAACCACATGCAAAATAATAAAAACAAGAACGATAGTTGATGAAATTATGATTAATTTCATTATCATCATGCACAAGATTATTTTTAGCTGTAAAAGATCTTAAATCCTATAACAATTTTAAAAGAAGTAACGAAATGGTTATTTTGACTAAATTATCGGATAAAAAAATTTTAATCTCCTAAATGTTGAATTAAATATCAGCAAGTATAACTTTGACAAAGAAATGCATAGCTGAGAACTTAAAGAAATATTTACCCATTATTTTTAGATATGGAAATATTTATGAATTTGTAAATTTATTGAAGTATTCTATGATTACCAAAAACTGCAGAATTATTTTACATATTTCTTTGTAAACGTCAAGCAATACATTCACAATTTGAAAATTTAGTAAACATCCTAGCATTAAGCAGATAATACACAAACATGCATGATATTCTTTAAAATAAATTCTTATGCAGAAAATAATTTATTTTTCAGTAAAGATTCCATTACACTTAGGAGCCGGCTATTTTTTATTAGGGCAGCCGGCTATTTTCGAAAGAAAAGTGCCAATGAGAACAAACAAATTCCAAAAAATTCCACGTTGCCAAATAACTTTTATTGCATTATTCGTTATATTCTAACTTACTTCTCAACACAAGAAACTAACTTTTAATAATTAAAAATTCTGTAAAAAACATTAGTAAACATTGTGTTTTAAGAATATAAATCAAAATAATAATATTCTTTTTCACTTAATTCTTTACTTTCCTTTGCAAAGAAATCTATCAAAACAAATAATTACATTAATTTTATTAGCTCCATAGTAAAATTTCAAAATTCTGAAATAAGTATGGATTTTAACGACATTTTCTACAATATTTACAGAGAACTTTAAAAAAAAGTTAACTTAGTATCAAAAATAATATTTAAAAAATGTACAGAAATAAAATCTAGAATGCATTATTTAATTTGAAAATTCAAAAATTGTATGTAAAGAGATACAAAATATTAAAAATGTCCAAAAAAGAACCTCAATAATTCCATTTCTAAAAAATTTCTTTATAAGACCCCCCCCAAAAAAATCTAAAACTTTATTATAAACACCAAAAAATCTAAAACTTTATTATAAGTAGAAATTTTAGTTTCACTAAACGCTTCAATTTTCATGCATTTAAAAACAATTTACCTGCTCTATTAACGGTTAATATGACTTAAAAACCTTAATATTTTTGTAAATTTAGTTCCCAAAAATTAAGCAAGCTGTACTAAATATAACAAGACAGCATAAATTATAACTACGAAGACTATATTGTATTTGAGATCATTTACAAATAAATGGTCTACTGAAGTATTAATTATGCTCAAAGCATACAAATAAATTATAATTTCAAAAATTTCTAATTCTTAATTCGTGTTTGAGCCAAATATATTACCGAGGAAATTTTAAACAAAAAATTATATGAAATTCAGCGTTTTATAAATTCACAAAACTTAAAATACTTCATTGAGAATACTTCAATTTTTGCATTTAAAGCATATTATAACAAGAAAATAGTATAGGATAAAGTTAGTCACTCAAAAGAAATGATCATTTTACAAGGAAAATACTTTATTTTTATAAATAACAGAATTTTAGGCAAACAGACAGCTTTGATATTATGTTCGACATCATGCAAGAATTAATGTATTAATAAAGGTAAGCTAACTATTAAACTGCTTCCTAATATTTAAAGCAGGATAAAAATCCATTTGCTGTGGTTTATCCTTGAATTGCAGCTTTTGGTTATTTTAAGCTATGTTCCTTACATATGGCTTACGTGTTTATCAACTACAAATTCACAATCAAATGTCTAACAAATCAGAGTTTTAATTTATTAAGAAAGCAAAAAGGTAATGCATGGTATGTCTTGCATTAAAACTAATATTAAGAAAATGGTTTCAAAAAGCAAGTTTTATGGGAGATAAAGGTATTAGTTCTCAAAGAAGCTAATAATATTTGTGCGTAACAATAATGATAGTTAAAAGAAATAATCGTTATTAATTACGAAAGGTTACAGTATAGCTTCGAAGATGTAAATGAAGTGATACAAAACGTCTTACGAAATTACAATCACAAATCTCCTTTAAAATTCATACTGACTCAAATCCTTTGAAATGTGGTTAATGGATATGAAATGTCGCTTAATAATAATGGAAAGTTTTTAAAAAATCTATCAACTTAAAAAAATATTAGTCAATTTTTTCCGGTCATTTAATTTTAAGATTTAAATGCAGGGGGAGAAGAAAACATAATTTTTACTCTACCCTCTTGTTTGGGGGGCGGGAGAAAAAATATCTGTAGAATGATACTGAAAACGAATTACACCCTATAAACGTTTTAATAGAATTAGATCAGTGGTAGAATTCAACCATTTTAAACCAATTTCCTAGAGTGGACCTCCTAAGCATTTTAATTTAGCGAACCAGCTTTTGAAAAATTAAACTTTAATATTTATTTAGTAGCTTATTTTATCCTTTAATTAAGCAGCGAACCGAAGTTTTAAAAATTTTTGAATTCCATCACTAATTAACATTCTATAGCAATTGTCTAAGTGTCACTCTTGTTTATTATGCATAAATTATAAAAGAGTTAATTACTATATTTTCCCTCTTATTTATTGAAATTATGTTTTTAAATAAGAAGCATTTAATGCATAGCTTAAATTAGCCGCTTTGAAATGAATAAAGGTGGTAATTATGTGAAACCTATAATAATCTTTCTAATATCCAGTTAACACTTGGATTGTCTTTTCAAATTGTTCTTCCTTTTCGAAACTTCTCTCATATATTGAAAAAAGAAGGTTTTGAAAAGAAAATTGTTCTGAAAGAAAATTTCTTCCTTTTTAAAAACTTCCGTCATATAAAAAAAGAAGAACGCTTTAAGCAAGTAATCTAAAATATAACAAAGTTTTCGTCTTATATATTTATTAGATCTGCAACATGATGTCGTACATAAGATATTTATAAGTTGAGAAAACTATACATAGTTTCACACTGAGAAATGAATCAATTTTAAACACAGTCAAACAACTCTCAATAAATTTCACATAAGACAATGCCCATGAAATCACAATAAACAATGCATACGACATGTATCTTCAAATTTGGGATAGTTGTAGCAAATTTACATCAAATTTTATGGACTTGCAGATAGAAAATTTACAACTCATATATTAAATGGCCACTTACAGCAATAAATTCTTTTCTATATTTTTAGGAGGGAAAAAAAACTAAAATTTATTCACAAACATGTCCAGGTCCATGTGTCATAACAACTCAACTTTCAAAAACACAAAAATTCACAAAAACATAAATTATGACTGCACAAAAAAGAGAGTTTGTTTCCTTTCTCCGATATATACGAACATTCCTTTTTCTCTTATTCTTTTTTTTTAATATTTTACACGAAATTTAATTTTTAATTCACTAAAGTTTTTGGAGCGGAGCTCCGTTTGGCTCTCATATACACATCATCGCAAACATTAAACCATCAGTTCTGTGAATGACTTCTGAGCAACATACAACCTATTTAGAAGTCTGTTATATGCGACAATCAATTCTGATAACAATCGGTATGATATGTCTGGGAAAAGCAATTTGTTATCATGGAAATATCTGCTCGTTATGTTACAGTAATATATACAACATGCAGCCACCTCAAACATGATAGATACATACTGTTACATAAATTTAGGTAACTTATAACAATTACCTTACCTATTTCTATTCGTTGCATATTTCGAGACACTTGCATAGAGAAATTGTGATGGTTTAACACCTTAGCATTATACGTCTTAAAGCGAATTAGTAGTTAAGTATAAATATTAAAATGTGTGAAAGAAAGAATATCATCTTTTTAATTTTTGATTACTAAAACATAATTTTTTATTATTACAAATACTATCAAATCCTAAATAAACTGATTTTATTTAATATCGAAATTTATTAAATTCATTGTTTCCTATTAAGTACGGTCATTTTTCGTGTAAATGAAAATATATAAAATATAGAGTAGTCGGTATTTAATGAGCTAGCAAGTAGCATTTGCAAACATTTAATTAAGGCATTTAAAGTTATTATAAACACAAATGAGCCACACTGTACAGTTTTCCATAGCCCGAGTTTCACCTGATGATTCATTTTACAAATACGCATATTGATCGAAAACATTTGAGTACCAGAAGATTTTAACAATTTCTAAAATAAAACAGAAGTTCTAAAAACGATGAATAATTTGAAATGTCCTTTAAAGTGCAACACCAGAAACCAATATCTAAAGCATAACAATAATTAAAGCAACTTACACGAGTTATTTTCATAATTTGTTTCTTGCAAATGCGATATAAAATTAATTAAGCTTTATATCGGCACTGCAAGCTGCAAGTGCTTATCAAAAATCCTTTCGATAATCATCCTTAATGTTCTTTTGGTTAAGCAATTCAAAAATGGTGTCAAAAATTACGGATAATATTACGTCCTACCCACAAATTCGTTTTTTCTAATCTTATACGAGGTTGTGTAAATGCATATTTATTGCAATTAGAATATGCAGTTTAAACAATTTTAAGGAAATTTTGATGAAAAAAGTTCAGTATATAAACAAAGGATTGAAAATGTTATTTATGAACGTTTCATCCCAATGGATAAGTTGACCTGACCACGGAACATAGCGCGCTTCTCACGTGCATAAAATGTGGTAAAATGAAGAGAGAGATCTTAAACTCCCTCGGATGTTGTCAGAGATACTCTGTTGTCCTGTTTCAATTGCGAATGAGACAACAGAAAAAATATCAAAAATCGCAGTAAAATCACTGACCACTATGGAAGTGTTTTCAATGTAGCATCAAAACATTTTACTTCAAGGCTTTGCCTGCAAATTCTTTAACCACTATTTCACATATAAAACGGGATTTCAAGAAAGTTTCGTGAAAGCATAGACAAACAGTGGAATTTAAATACCTCTGCCAAGTTCTTTCTTCATATATTATTATATAGATATTAGGAAATGCATGTTGGATGAAAACACTAAATTTATCTTGAGTAAAGTTGAAAAGGAAACTCAGATTATCCCAGAGAATGTCACGATTAAATTTTAATGTAACAATAAGGAGATGGACTATGTTTTTTAATTAAAGTTGCGTTACAAAAATTCGAATTTTTAGGTTGTTCAAAGTGCGCAAGAATTTTTGAACTCGCATATTCACTTTTTTCCAGATAAATCTTCGTGCCTTAAGAAAATACAAGAAAAGAAAACATTTCGTTTAATTAATGTGTTAAAGAACTGGAAAGAAGGTATTAAAGCACTGGTAGAATGCTAACATGTTTGCAAAATCAATGCTGGATACTGCAGTGCAAAAATGCATCATCACATAATAGAAAGAACAATATGCATTTTAAAAGCAAAGGACAAAGAGAACATAAAGTCTTTAACAAAAATTCCTTTCTACACAAATATTTGCACTTTAAAGACTTCTCCTATATACACATATAGTAATTTAACTTGTATAAAATATTTTCTGCTGAAAAGTACATATATTTAACAATTGATTGTATTCGATTTTTTTTCCATTATGCAATCTTGCAAGATATAAGAGTTTATAAGTAAGTAGATCGATCAAGAACCGAGCAACGCAAAGGAATGATACGTCTGAAGGAGTGAAAAAGAAAATTAACGCCCTTTCCTGCACCTCAAAAAAATATTAATTCAGTACAAATTTCAACATTTTTTTCAGAAACTCGAATTTTACAAGCCTGTGTTAACTCGTAAGTTAATCGATCTGCAGTTACCACTCAAAACACATAAACTTGAGAAAAATTACTGTTATTTAAATGTAGCAAGCATTCTGATATTATTCTACAAGAATATCTTCATATCACACTTCTAAGAGCAAAACAACAAACAGTTAAAACAACAGCCAAATGTACACATATTTTATTAGGTTAGTAAATCTTCTTCCCACGAGAGAGCCCCCCTTTTATTATATTGTCATAACAGTATATAAAAAGATATTTCTTAATCCCAACAGGACTAGACAGCTGATCTCTAAGACTAGTCTTAAAAGCTCCTAATTAAATTTCTCACGAATAAAAAGAGACACTGGTGTTCTGGAAGAAAACAAGAAACAGAGTTTATACAAATCACTCCTTGTGACTATTCCAATGGCGACATGTTTCTGAACTGAAGGTTTATTTGTTTGCGATGATTTCAACCTGTGTTCGAGCACAGAGCTCCTCAATCCATTTATTTTAAGGGTTACTCTTGACTACCAACATCCGAGTTGACTCACGAACAAGCGGTCCTTGAATCATAAATTGGCCTAATATCACCATATGCTCCACTGTCATCATTAGGGTGACGGTTGGGGACGTTATTCGTTTGGAACTTGTCGCTGCCACTCGTGGATTTGGGGGCTCTGCCGCTTGCGGACCGGCCAAATGTATTAAGTCAGTAGAACCCTTCCGACCAGGGACGAAAGGACTTCTGTGCCGGCTCCCATCAATGGTAAACGGTCCCACATCGTCGATAGAGGCATAAATGTTCTCTGGAGGAGGTGGTGTTGGCGGGCGGCCCCCACCTAGTGCATGATGAGGATAGGGGTGGTAACTAGCACCTCCTCGGCCCCCTGTGGACGAAAACTCAGTAGCTGATCCAGACCGCGTCCTCGATATGGATGGAAGGGGCGGCTGTGCAGGATATGGGCTCTCGACTGTAAATAGAACCCCACTACCACCCGCTCTGCAAGAAGGTGGTACAGGAAGTGACCTTGAGCTCATAGGTGCAACGGCTGGCATAGTGGCGATTCCACTGTTCGGAGGAGGCAATTTGAAAGATAACTCCCGCAGTAAAGCTTCAGGTATACGACCTGTTTGCTGACCACCGGGTGACACAACCTGCGGGTTATAAAGAGCAGAAATAACTCCGGAGGACGTATTTGGGCCTTGTCCGACAGATCTGGGATTCGTCGCCGTTGGGTATGGTGGTGGTGGAGGCGAATTGGAGGCTGATCTCGAAGAAAGTGGCATGGCTCTTTGTTGCTGCTGTTGTTGCTGCAGCAGTGCAGGAATGAAGTTTAGGGAAGAACCCATTGCCCTTGCCGATGGATATTGACTTTGTTCAGAGTGTCCCATGTCACCTGATGGCGACACACATGAATTACCGTCCGTCAGCCCTTCTGGGTACGTAAAGTCTGGCCCCAACATACTCTTGTTGAGGTAATAATTTTGTTTCGCTTGGAAACTATTGCTAGGATGACCGTCTTTGTTCCTTTCTAAAGAATGAGTTAATTTATTTTGTCCGGTGGCTATATCCAGACCGCGAAAATTGCCTTTCACAGCCCTGCTTTCTGAAGGGCTACCATCGCTGCAAAACCTTTCACTGGAACCAGTGACCGCATCTGGATATAAGTCACCCCCTGTGGATCCTTGCAAACTACTCGTTGCAGAACATGGTTGGCTTTGATCCATGTCTGCATTTAAGGGATATTCGCCTGCAACACTCAACTCATCCTCTGCGAATTCATCTTCACTGGCAACCGTTCGACCTTCCACTTCGCTGTCCTCGATGTCGGAGTCATAACTACGACCACTTGGCTTGTTGTCATCAGATGTTGCACTAACTTCTTCATAAATAGGATGGAACTGTTGGTCTTTCTTCTTATTTGAGTGATGGTGGCCACTGCGATGGTGATGCTGTGGTCCTCCGTGATGCTGACGATGTTGACGAATACGCTCACCAGGTGCTTGTTGGTGTTGGGCAGTGTTGTTGGCTGATGTAGGGATAGTAAAGTTGGTCCTAGTCAAGGGATCAGCATGCGACTGAACGTAGTTGCCATATTTCACGTCAAGTAGCTGAAAAGAAAAAGAAAACACCTTAAATATATGTTCATATTTTTTTAGATAATATGGCATTTTTTAAATAAAAGTTTATTCTCCATTTGTAATAAATAAAACCAGAAGTTTCTTAGTTTTTAATAAGGATATTATTTATTGGTAAAACATACTGCTATTATTTAATTCAAGTTTACAAAATTTAAGGGAAGAGAAAAAAATTATAAAACTGAAAATATAATATTAAAAAAGATTTGCTTGAATTGAAAGCATGGAAAACATTCCGACTGAATATCAGTCATAATAAATTGAGCAATTATAACACTAAAGCAAATGTAACAGCAACATTTTAGGGTAAAGACGCTTAAATTATGACGCGAATAATTCATTTCAGTTCTCAGTCTGGTTGACATAAGAAAGGTCAGAATAATTTAGAAATCTGATGTAAAAATTAATTAATATTGTTACGAAATGTACAGGCGCGGTAGGATGGCTTCCCCGCAAAGTAGTTTTAGGGTTGTCATAAAATAGCAAAGGAAAGCAGGGTAGCCATGGCGATATGCCCCGGACGGATGGAGAACCTTCTGGAACGAATTCGTACCCGTTTAGCCCAGAAAGTTCTCGAACACAAGGCAAAAGCTATATAAACCCTGCTGGTACGCGGAGTTACGAGTTAGTTGGTGTCTCGTCTAGCGAGTCAGTCCGTGCAGAGTCGATCGAGTTGACAGCCGGGTAGCGAGTGCTGGGTCGTCGAGTTCACCGAAGGAGTCTCTTAGTGTATCGTGGTTAGTGCATCGTCGAGAGAGCGTGTTGAGCTCCGGGAATGACTGAACCGAAGAGTCGGAAGCCGTGCTCTGTGTGTCGTCGAGTGCATCGCGAGTTGTAGCGTGGAGAGTCTCGAGAGTACGTGGAGTTCCGAGAACGACCAAGCAGAGTCGGGAGCTGTAATCTGGTGCTTTGCAGTGAAGCTGTCTCCCACGTGATAGCCTGATAACCTGAAGGATGTATCGCTGATCGTGGCAGCGTGTTTATTGTAGTTCATCGACGACTGTAAAACGTGTTTTGGAGCTGTCCTGACAAAACTGGCAAATAAAGTGTGTTTCGATACTTCATCAAGTTGTATTGCCATTATTCACTCCAAATTCACACGAACCCCGTACGAACGTGAAGGAAGAAAAATAACGTAACAACTGGTGTCAGAAGAAAAGAAAAACGCAATACTATTTTAATTAAAACTGGGTATTTTGGAGACACAACAAAGCGACCTGCGTTATTAAAAATACGTAAAATTTTGAACATACTACGTTTTTTATGCACCTTTTGAATGTGAGCTAAATGTGTTTAAAAAATTTAGTTAAATTCCTGCTACAAGAAAGTATGCATAAATTGAATAGTTTAAAAAAAAATAGATTTGTACCAAAGTGATTATTTATGTGGTTTATTGAACTTAAATAGCAAATCTTTTTCCATTTCATATTAGCAATAAAAAAAGATTTAGGTAGGACTTTTAGCTAGCATTTCGACTTTTTATATGAATTTTAAATGGCATCAAATATTTATTTATAGCATAGATTAATTGCGCATATATATGCGTTTCGCAAGCTTTCAGTCATTTAAATAACAAATAATTTGAAAACAAAATCGCTTCACATACACACACAATACACAAACAGTCAAACCACCATTAATAGATACTTCATTTTAGGGTCTCCATTAATGGATTATTCCTGAATCCAGATTCTCGAAGCAGAAGCGTCAAGAACTTTCCTTTAGCAGACACTCCCTGATAAAAAAAACCCATAAATGTCAGCTAATGGAAAGTTCGTTATATGTATATATACAGAGAGACAAAGTGAGGAGAGCATAAAATAATTATATAATAATAATACTTAACGACTTTAATATTTTTCCATAACGTTTGCTAACATAAGCAGTTTGCTGTAGGATTTTTTGCTCTGTAGATTTTTCGGATTTTGTAAAATCTGGCAAGTACTTTGAAATTTATTATAGCATTATAAACAACATATCAAAACAGCTGCTTTCTAATACTCAGATATATCTCTGCATCAGAAATTTTTTTGTAACACTCTCCTTTAAGAGTTGGACTATTTATTCGTAGAGATCTCCCTCTATTTTAGATATCATGACTTTCTTATGGATAGATATGAAAACGTACACAATACACATATATAGAATATCTCAACAAATACATCAAATAAATGCTGAAACTTCTGTTTCGCAAAAATTTCCAACCGCATACTTGAATACGAAATTCTTTCTAACAACACTGGGAGTACTACCATTTCCTCGCTCAGGAGATACTTTATCTGCGAAAGAAAAAACGTAAATCAACTTTTCAAACAAACAAACCGGAAAGAAGTACGAGAGGGAGGTGAGGAACGACCAGAGAAAGCTCATTCCTCTCTCCCGATGGCCCCTCGGACCCATCTTTCACTTAGCTGACCTGGGTGCTTGGAGCCAGTGCCGCCCAAAAATCAATAACAAAGGTAAGGGCGGCCAAAGCTCCAGCTCCTGGCTTTTGGACGCGGCCCAAAAATCGTGTCCAAAAACTATCCATCAAGTAGAAAGGATATCTTGTCAAGACCGCTGTTTAGCAGCACTGGAGACGACCGCTCTTGCATAACCTGATATCGAGAAGTTACTTATGATCCTGCATATTCTTAGTGTCAACGTCAACGTACATAATAAAGAAACATTATAAAAATATACCAGCTACAAATACAGTTAAATATTCATTGAAAAAATTTAATTTTGAAAACAGTATTACATAAAGCTAGCCCATACCTGCCGACTTCATCAGAGAAATGAAATCAGATTATGAAGCGGAAAATAGAGACTGTTATTTCAGGAACTTTGGTGCATCAAATGTTTCATATATTCCTGAAAAATATATGGTTATCTGACACTAGGACACTTAGTCATTGCTTAACCTTTAACTGGTATGACTTAAGCAATAAAGTATCAAAAGTATTACCTCATTACTTTAATACTTGTCCGTAGAGTACCAAGTGTACTGCAGTATCTCCATCATTCTGAGGAAAAGTACAAAGCGCATTTTTTCTTACAGCTACTACAACTTGCTTAAAATATTATTTACAGCCATTTATTTAACTGATTATATATTTAAAAATATTTACAAATGATACAGTTTTTATTTAAATAACTTTAATGTTCGATCATATGCACCATTTTTTTTTCCAAACCAGTTCACAGTTAGAAAAGACAAACTGCTACATTGCGTTTATATGATTACAATTCAAAGTGCGTAGTTCTTAGAGAAATGTAAAATTCCAGGCGGATTTAAACTAATGTGTTTATCATCGGCAATGTTTAGTAATGTGAATAGTATAATGTACCCATTACGGAATTTGAACTACAGCAAAACTCTGCGATAACAATATGTAATTATCAATGATAAAAATTGCTAAATTCTTAAGAATCATTGTTCCTGAAGAACATGTGAAGCATTTGAAAGAAATCTAATACTTTTAATCTAAAAACTTTGCAAGTGTTTTCGGTGATACCTATATGGAAAGAACATAAAACAAAATCGTTAGTATAATCGTTTGCTATGTGAAGCTGCTTCTAGGTATTTGTGTTTCAGATTTGATCTTCCACTGCCAGAGCCGTTGCGGTCACTACGGGCGGCAAAAGTTTAGAATTAAATGGATTAACAAGCATCAAAATTTTTAGAATTTCAAGGAAGCAATGGGGAGCAGAATTTAGAGGCGGCAAAAGTTTTAGAGTTCAGAGTGACGTTCCGAAAATAGAAACTAGGACCCACAGAGATTGCACCGGCAGCAAAATGCTTAGCGCCTGCGCTGCTTGATTATAGTGTAGATGATATACCTTTTGAAAATTAGTGACGCTTTCCTCTAGAATGAGACTTATATACTTGAAATGAATACAATCAAGCACTAGGCTTCCATTTATAAAACGTGTCCTGTATCTAGTGCTTCCTTTGATTAACTACCAGAACATTTTTATGGCCTTTACTACACTTTACTACACTATTTTCCATTTTTTATTCCAGATCGGATTAGAATGAATGGCATTGTTAAGCACTGAAATTGCAGTATATTGGCTGCAGTCGCCGTTCACGCCTCTACATCCGCTGGCCAGCGCATAGAATTACAGAATTTTGCAACAATAAACGCTACTACCGCTGCCACACCTGTAATATACTGCGCCTTCTGATCAGATTCGCATAATGTCAAGAACTGTACCTCCAGTTTACCTACGCGCATCAAGTGCACAGACATCAGCTATAGAACAGGCAATAAAACACCATACAATCTCCTAGCATACCACATCTCCTGCCCATCATACAGAAAATATATCGAACGTATACGCCGAAGTACAACGTAACTAACAACAAACAGGATATCAACATGGATAAGAACACTGAGGAAGCCTTTTTAATATTCACGAGAAGCCACAAGAAGGACCAATACGCTGTGCTCAAATCAATTTGCAACGTGCCCATGCAGTAGCGACGCAAGCAGTAGCACTTGCAATGCAAAACAAGGCAAATGTTCTTCTAGAACAAGATCTTAACAGTCGTGAGGGGCATGTTATCAGTTTCATACTTGCCTGGAAAATCATATAACGCACAGCCTCAATTAATAAATACGCACCATATACTGCAATTCCACTTAATCATCCATCAATATCAATGCTGACAGAGATGTTGCTTGCATTCTGCTACAATTTAATAACATACAAACCATCATCAGCTGTTTTTACTCTTCTCGACGGATGACAATACACTTTATCAGCAACAGACAACATCTGTGTAAAATACCATTCTATTTCGCAAAATATAAACAGAGATTTCAATGCCCTGAGCAACTTATATGATTACACCACAACTAATCCTAAAGATCAAGCATTAGAAGACTATATTACGGCACATAATCTCCATTTACATTAACACTGCAAATATTCCACCAGCCTTTGAGAGTGCCTACAGCAAGGTTTAGCCAGATCTAACTCTATCT